ATGGTAAGTCCAGGAATCGCTGTATTCATTGTATCGATCACGATGTTCTATCAAACAGTCGGGGATGTTCGCGGACTTGTCATAATATCCTGAAAATCTACAAAACCATCTGGACCCTAGTATGCTTCAAACTATAAATTTCACGCCGTCTGCATAACTTGTCGCTCGATGCAAAGTCGGTAAAAGGCACCGCCAAAGCCAAACGTCTTACTATAATGGATATGAGTAGAGAAAGACACTGGCAGTACGTCAAGGATTGATGATGATTTGCTTTCGATTCCCTTGAATCCTATTTTGGTTTCGAGAATACATTTCAAACGCGTCACGTGCGACAGAGTGTGTACCACTATCAACGCGGAGCAGCATTGAATCCTCATATGCCTTGTTTGCTTGATGTGCAAACGTTTGCTGCATATAAAATTACCCGTACGACAACATATCATGTCTCCAGTTTGCACTTATTGCAGATCAATTCGTGTGGTGGATGTGACAGTGTTTTGTGTTGAGTATGATACACGTGGACGACACCTTACGTTTGATGAAAGTGAATAATCTATAGCGTTACTTATAGCTAGCTATAGGTGCGTCAAGAGCTCGCCACAGCTTTGGAAACAATATGGACAATTGCGTTGATCAACCTTATCACTAGGCTTTGGCAAACACCGTGTGGTCAAAGTTTTTTGCAACGCGTATATGGTCGTAGGTTCAGTGCTTGCCGTCCTGGCAACGACGATATTATTAATGCGTGAATCGAAGCCAAAACCGGATAAATTGACTCAGGAAATGTTACGAATTAGTCAACAGATGAAAATGTACAATGAAACGGCAGCAGCAGCGAAACCTCTTATTCTGTCAGCTAAAACACGTTGTTCTAGTGTTACTGAAAGCTTGGAGTATCCAGGTGGACGTGTCACAATTCTCTTTGGTTCTTAAACAGGTACAGCTGAAGGTTTTGCTGAAGTATTGAAGAAAGAAGGACGAAAAGGTATTTCGCTGCAAGCCAGCAAAACCGCCATTTGGTGACGGATCCAGCCTCAACTCCGGGCGCTCATCGAACGTCTCCATTGCCGGGCTGAAACGGCCGTTCGCGGAGCCCAACATTCTGCAGGATAAGACATTGTTAAGAAGGAACCGAAAGGTTCGGCTAGGATAGACGGGTAGTGACTCTAGCAATTGATCGGTCCTTGCTGCGCTTATCACGACCGGATCAGGAGGGAGGACAGCAGCAATACATGAAAGCGCTCACTAACTTGACTTCGGAGCCGATAAGCTGGACGACGCCGAAGAAATGGGTATTAAAGCTCTCTCGACCGCTCATGCACTTGCCACCGCCAACGACACCAGAAGACGAAGTTATCTGGCCCACATACTTGTCAGCACGCAAGCAGCTTGAAATTTGACTATCATGGCGACGTCTTGTCAGCACGGAAGTACGACAAAATACGGCCCTGCGCTGTGGCGGATCCACAGTGCAGCAGGTTGGGGTCCGAACGTATTCATTCGCCATTCCTGCGGTAGGGGCGTCGACGCATCAACAAGCCGACCGGCGACATCGCGATTTTACTTAGCGCTATCAATTCAGATATTATATGCTGCTTCAAGTCCGGCAAGACCTCGTACGACCTCGTACACGTCGCTTGGAGCATCTCACGAATGCAAGTATAACGGGCTACCATCGCTAGTTCTAGCATCCTCTAACCCGGCCAAGGGTGTCGCCGGGGATCTTGTGCCGCCTTGTTGTTCCTCAACATTGGGACACTTTTGCTATCCATTTGTGTGTCGCATTACAAAAGATCCAAGCTTGTAATACACTACTATAGATGTCTTTGCGTTGAGATAGCCAATACTATGGCAGATTTTAACCGTTGCGCATTGAGGCCAAAACGACCCAATCTGCCCGTTCAAGTGTGTACAAAAGCGCTGGGTTGATCTTTTGGCGGCCAGCCTCTGTGCTGCTCAAGTGTTTTCTTAGAATTTTTCTGAAGGTTGCGTAGCTGTTGTTCCGCCCATATTGGTGTCTCAAAGACTGCCGCCGTAAAGCTCACTGCTGGGATCATGATTACGTTCAGAAGTAATACTCTGAAATCGACGCCTGTTGCGAGTTGAGTCGCTGTTGCCAGTCGACGTTGTACATTTCGAAGACGTGCAGCTCAGTTCACATCGGCGAGATGACCTGTTCCAACGGCGTATCCTAAATATCGCACCGTATCGCCAAGCGGCATAACCGGTATTCCACAGAATTCCTGCGTTTTCATTGCTCTGCTTAGTAAATGACTTGCGTTTAGTTAGTTAGGCGCTTAAGCCAGATAAGCACCCAAACGACTCCCCGATGTCCATCACTCTTGGCAGCTTGGTGCGTCTCGTGCATAAATACCGTGAGTCGTCGACAAACGTTGAAAACTTATCGACCACCCCCTTCTTCGAGGAGTAATAAGCCGGTGATCTGGCTATCATATTAAAATCTTGCACGAGGATTTCCGCCAAAATAACGAAAATCACCCCGTAGCCGCAAGTAAGTGCGCAGCCGACACCATTCATTACGATCATCAGTGAATAACAAATTCGTCGCGTGGTATTGGACAGGATCCAAAAATCCAACCGTAAAACTACGTGCCCGTCAATTTGTCAAGAGTCCTGCTGCAGTAGGCCGCTAACTGCGCTGGCAAGATGCCCCGTCGCGAGGTGATCATTTACGTTTCTAGCATTTGAGAACCTTCTCCGGGTATGGAAGCTTCTACACCATAGTGAAGAAGGTGAGCTGGCTCCTGTTTAGCAACGCGCATCCATTCCACGGTGCTACTCCGCTTTAGCGGATGAAGAGCTTAAGCCATTGTCAGCCAGAAAGCTGCGTGGTGTTGCCAGAGGGCCGGCTATGCAGCGCAAGTGTCGTGGAGGTTATCGTACACACTGGAGGATATACATTTGCCATGGGCTATACCCATGGCAAATGTTTACCGGTGCTAAACGGTTTATCCGTATCAGAACCAGCGATTGTCATTAGAATAAGGATGTGCGCGGAAGGATATATAGCTGTAGCTGTTGGCAGAGGTCCTGATTATTGGCTACAGAGAATATTAGCTACGCCAAAGCCGAATTAAGTCAGATTAGTCATAATACTAAAATGTAATACTAAATCTGTATAAATACATAGCCTGAGTAAAAAGATCGCTTTCAATATTGCATTGAAAGGTGATATGTTTATAGCTTATCGTTGAAATATGTTTGTAGCTTGTTATCAGTGTAAGTAAAAAAGTATTGCTTAATATTACCACAAATTTGACTAATCTCAATGGTTTCACTGAATATCTTCTAATGATAAAAGCGCAATTGCGACCGATCACTTATACCTCATTTTGTTTTCTATCATATTATCACGGCGTCTTCGCGCCACGCTTCACTGTATCAACAACAACAACTTGCTATAATCGACAATTTGGTTGCTAATTAATCAAATTATATAATTCTTTGAATTTAAGAGATAAATCTTAAGCTTTAATTAAGATTTAAAAAAGTTTTGATTTCAAATATATTTAATTTATAAATGCACCAATTTGTAAAAATAATCATTTATTTGAAAATAGGGATAAAGTAATACTTAATGTCTGCAACTCATAAAATAACCCATTGAATTTGAAGTAAAGTAAAATAAATTACTAAAAACAATTAAAATGTCTTTAGCATCTTTTACTATTAATTTTTATACAAAACAGTGCTAATTACGCCCGAGTCAGCTCATGGAAGTGTGCAAGCGTTTAATCTGGGTCTATTTCCCCTTGGCACATGTTATTGCGACGGCGTCTGCACGCTTCAAATGAACCGAACGCCTAACAACTATATCAAAACGACATAAACACAGGTAAAACGTCTGGTATGGTGACCCCGCAGCATTGCCAGACAATCCCGACAACGTCATTGCCGATGTCCAGCCCTTTGCAATGATTGAACTTGAGAGAGCACTTGCGTTGTTATCCAGGCTTACAGACGACTAGACACCTTACTCTTTTATAACGTTTCAAATAAACAGGGACCCATTTCTTACTTCAATGATCTTATGGAACAAGTCCATTCCTTTTTACAATAAGTATCCCTCTTGGATTCGAGTTCCATATCGATCTAAGGCCAACGCTCAATTTCCAGCTAAAAAAAAATCGATATCATTTCTACATGGCCTATTGTGTCCATTTGTGTACCGTGCACTAGCAGCTTGCAACCTCGTGGGACTCACCAATGTCATTCGTTTATCAGTATTCCACACCATTTTATAAAAGACTAAATTTACTAACTGATGACAATCGCCTCGATCACCCGGTCTGTCCACGATAGTCCGTGAACGCCTCAACCGTGCTTAGCTTGACGAGACGGCCGCTTACATGGACGTGTGGCAGCGCCTACGGGTCATCCTGAGCAGCGTATGCATCGCTCGCTTACGTATACAAAGAAACCGGGCGACGTTCCAGCAGGCGAACCTGACCATCGGAGGCAGAGTTCAGGAGTGCCGGAATGCGACAATATCGCGCAATGTGTAATCGCAAAAGCCGACGCGCAGAAACGTCCATCAGCGGGACACGTCTCCTGCTATGCCAGCACATAATAGCACGGAAGACCCGAGAGCCCTCACCGCAGTGACTAGTCCCGTGACTACATCCAAAGAAATTTGTCGGTCTATCTCAATAGCTAATTCAAGAAAAGAGTTGTTTATTGACGTCACAGCTACATAGCAATAACAAATAGCATGCATGTATCAGTGCAGTGTGCCTCGCAATGTGAAACATGTGGCGTCCGGTCGTGAAAAGACGTTCTTCGTCGTAACACCAAGCAATACATGCCAGTATCGAGGTATCGCGACCATGCCTTGAGTCTGTATGCTAAAACACACATCGAGCGCGTAAGATCTAAGAAGCAGATTATTGTTGTCATTGTTTTTTATGACGTGCACGAGCAGTTTTGTCTTCATAGTATCCTTTACAGAAAAGTCTATGGCTTTGCTGTCAAATAAAAAACTAGATAGTAGTCCAATGGGCGCCCCAGCGGAGGTTGAAGAACTTTACTGCCGCATTAGGGCTCTCAGCAAACACACAATCGGGTTCACCGCCAGGTTTCGGACAAGGACCGCGCTTAGCTCCAGGAATCGTTGGGTCATCACCGGTGTAGCTGTCTAGCCATTCCATGTTGGACTCGTAGTCCACCGAGATGCTCATTGCCAGCGTCATGCCGCCAGCCATTTCCTTGCCGATTTTCTTAAGACCACCCCTATTCACCAGGCTTTCGCCAAATAAAGTCCTTTGACGCTTTGCAGAACGTATCGGAGATCGAGCTAGCACCATTCAGCTCGGGCAATGGACTCACTGGGGTTTTCTCAAAAATTTTATCAAACTGCTTGAAAATGCGACGAATTTCAACTAACTCGCCAGTATCGCTGCCATCTCTCGTCAAAAACTGCGTGACAACCGTAAATGGTTTGGTCGTATCAATGTCGAATTTATCGCCAGGGCCGTAATTCATCGTATTGCCCATGCGGAATTGATTATAGCCGCAACCTGGCTTGTCACACCAACCCATGCCTGCCACTGGTTCATCGTTAGCAGCTCCGCAGTCTGCATCAGTGAGACAACGATGTTGGTCCTTAATGGAGCAGGCATGAGTTGAATAAGATGTAGCCATGCTGTTAGCCTCCCAAACGGCCACCGTACTGCAGCAAGAACCGTAGGTTTGCTTGAGGTTGGCCTCACCATTAATGAATTTGACATCTTTCGGGCACTGGGCATTACAATAGCCAGTTCCATACGCTGCACCGGCGCGATTTGTAGGAAAACGCGAGGTACCACCATCGGGATCCATCTTGGTGAAGTAAAGCGCGGCGTTGGAACCACAGGGTAATGAAGAAACGTCTACGTCAAACGTAAATTCCTTGTTGAGCAGGTTGAATTGCTTGTATTTCTTACCCGACGCGTCCAGCATGTACACACGGGTGCCCACGCCTCCAGGAGTCTGAAGCTTCATCTTTATCTCCTTGCCTTTGGTCGTGATGCTGTGTGTACCTTTGTAGTCGGCACCTTCAAGTCCGCAATTTTTCGCACACGCCTCGGGAGTTGAACAAAACTCTGGATTCCACTTGCCATTTGTATAGCAAGCGTCACTTGTCCCAACGGCGTTAACCGCACGCCAGTCGGCATCGAGCACAATTGACGATTCCTCATTTTCACATCGATTAACCTCTTCGTCGTTCTCTCGGTCAACCGTATCCAGCACTTCGGTAATTTTGGTACAAAATTGCATTGTCAGTGACGGGTGCACCTCAGAGATTTCGGTGCCAATTTGCTGACCGAGCGCAACTTGTGAAAGCACAATGAGTGCGAATCCAGCGATGGATCTTGGGAAGTTCATGAGCAGTCGAAGTGGGACGACAAGAGGACGTCCTTGAGCTTAAGCTGTCAAAATTGAAAATGATGTAGCTTTAGTCCGTTCAAATTGCTTTAGGCCACTTCACTTTCACCGTCGTGGAGCCAAAAGCTTATCTTTGTAATAGAAACGTAATGGCTAGAGCTGCAGGCACTACTACGTCATGCTTTGAGAACGATCTCCCCATCACACAGAACAGATGGTAAGTCCAGGAATCGCTGTATTCATTGTACCGATCACGATGTTCGATCATAAAGTCCGGATCCTCAGTAGATCTCGTCCATTTTGCTTCTATGGAGTCGGATCTTGAAATTTCAGCGTAAATTCTCATGCCTTCTTACAAGACAATTAGTACGTATGTTCGTGTTGGAAAGGGGCTTTACAGAGAAGATGCGGTCGTCCATCATAGGTCTCAATTCGATTGCTTCCCTCTAATTAGCGTAAGAAAAGACCGTCAAAGGTCAGTTTGACCGGACATCTGTAGTCGATTCATTCTCTGTACAGGATAAACTGAACGCAATTGATAATGCGAATATTTGGGTTATTCGTTTGGCAAAGAGCTTTTCAATCCGAGAATGGATAACATTTGCACCCGAAGAAGATGCTAACACGCTACTTTACCGAAGCATCTCATGGATTGGTCGCGGTCTTTGACCTCAATCGACGTCACTTTCATAGCTTAAGTGTAAGGACTTACTTGCATGACGTTGAACAGTAGATCGATATAGATGTCCTGAATGGAATACAAACTATTTAGTGCAGAACAAAGTTTGCTTCATATCTTCAATTTATAACGCAGTTGCGTCAGGAGTCAGTAAAAAACAGCGTCATGTTAATTACATCGTTGCGGAAGTGAACGTAATTGCATGGACGAAGCACGAACTAAAAACGTTCAGCTGTCCTATGTAACCCCGTACAAGCTCTCAAAACGGTGTTAGTGTGAATCCGTTTTTCCAGCATGAACAGCACAGCTGCCGGAGGTATTTCATACGTGATGACGTCAGTATGTGTCTGCTCATAGGAGCAACGGTATTCCTTTACGAATTTACATGTGTGGTTTGAACAGATACACGACACGGCGTAAGTTCTTGTGTCGAACTTGACACCTGAAGCAGAGATCTAGGCTTTGTCTAACGTGTCCAGAGCTGCAGCCTTGGCATCAACATACTTCGCGTTGGAGAGTTCACGAAAGAATAGCGGCACTTTGCAATGTCGTCGTCTTGTAACACGTGTACGACAAGAGCAGTAACACGATGCTTGGCAAAAGTTCCCACGTCCAAGGCGCACAGGTAGATGATACTTGGGCGCCGCACCAGCCGGGCCATTGTCCAGCTTGATTTTTTGGAAGGCCTATCATACGGTCGACCGCGACTGCATGGCGCGGACCTCAACCTCTTCAAATTTGACGAGAGCTTTTAAGCGATCGTTCAACGACCACCTACCAACACGACAACTCTCCTCGATTTGATAGGCTCGGTCTAGCATCAGGTATGAACTCTTGCTCCCTTTCTCTTCCTAGTGGTCGTTGAGGTATTGGCAGTGGCCATACACGTCCCCACACCTTCAGGGGCTCATAGTCACGGCTACGCCCAGACAAACCGTGTCTTTTCGGGGGTTGTCGGCGACTCCACGCTCTTTCTCCGACGAGCTCGTTTCCTCAGGCCGGCTATTAAATCATACTAGAAACTGGGAGGCTGTCGGGTTGCAGTAGTACAATCGGCCAAAAATCAGATCATCTTTCTCAAGACTGCTATCCAGTAGCCCACGTACGAGAGAACCGCCATTCTTACCTCGTCCGCCACTACGCAGTACTCGAGCTACAACCAAGTGAGGACCCCAACTTCAATTGCGCAATTGAAGTTGGAGTCTCCGCTTATAAATGTCCAGCGACGTCTCCTAACCGTAACGCGCGTACCGACGACTCTCAAGCACCGAATTTGATTCGTCAACGCGATTGTTCTACACGCACACGCCTTCTTCACGACAGCGTTCTATGAGACCCCCTTCCCCGTTTGAGCGCTCCAGCAACTGGAGCATCTCTACAAACACTTTTGAAAAACATCAAACAAGATCAAACCCGGGAGACACAAAGTACCTCCTGGTCTACTCTACACTTTTCGACAGACTAAAGGCCTCGTTCCAGTTCCCGTTGCCACAAAACACAGCGCATCAAACACGCACTTTTAGCCTTGATTGGTCGGACGACACCTATGTATCGGCGTGGATGTCCTAAATTACGCATGGTGCCCGGAACACAACCGTAAGCCCCATCCGATCGGGCATAAACACATCACAGCGCCATCATCTTCCAAACGGTCTACGAACCTGTTACATGAATTTGGAAGCCTGACGATGCCAGCGGACCCGCAAATGGACAAATCCTTTTCTGAGTCAATTGTCATATACCGGCGTTGCGGCCATCATCTATCACTTGGTGGTAAGGGAACGACGAGGTACTGCACCTATCCGAACGCCTGCCTCCCCGGCGCGCGGAAACAGAATTTTAGCCACAGGAGATACTGGTTTACTTGTAGACCTTTGAATGGAGTGCCAACCGTAAGATTCTCACTCTTCATGTGTCAGAGCTGTCCCGCTCCAGGTATGACAAGCTCCACGATATCTCCTTCGGACAGATTTACCTTCATCGGGTCTGGGGACGCGTCTTCGGTGGCATTTCTTCCTTCTCGCACATCCCCGCCATTCGCATTCCAAACTTCTTCAGAATAGGCAATTATCGTCTTATTCGCATCGCTGTCGCTCGAGGTGGTAAGCGCGGAAGGGCGGCTGGCACACTGACGCTGCGGCACCAGCCTCCTAAGCCATCACATGATTACACGTCGAGCCGAGCAGTGCCTGGCAAACGCCTCTCGCTGGCGGCTTGGTCACTCTCAGTACTGAGTGGTTGCTTACCCAAGGCCAGGACGGGATATAACTTATGTATCCGAGTCGCTAGAGCCCACCCAACTTGCAGAGAATACACTCATTCGAACTGGAGTCGTCTTTGTTATCCAACTCCCAGCTCCACCTGCATCCGTGGTCTGCTCCGCCTACTGCTCCCAATTACCGCGCTTTCTAGTTTCTCAAACAAAAAGCTTTCGCGTTGACCAAGGGTCGTCTCGCTGCAGCGGCCATGATAAACTCACTCATCACCAAAGCCGGCATAGTCGGTGGCAACACGCAGCTGATAGTTTCTCCATCTCAGTTTCGGGACTACAGGCACGCGGTAACCAAATATTACCTTTAACCACGATATGGGCCCGCTACCGGCCAGCTCAACTTATGAACGAGAGCCGGCCACCCGTCGGCATCTGCCCGACCGCGATATGTGAAGAACAAATGAAAACTCAGGAGCATCTCATTGGAAATGTCCTGCGCCCAGGCATTGTGAGCCCGTCTTATCTGTCATTGGGAGAACTATCCACCATCTGCTTCATTATTAAAGCAGTGTTCTTATTCGTAAAGTCCCAAGTCTTCGCCGATGTTATAGCAATGTTGGTGGTCTGCTTGGAGCAATGCTACAGCCTTTGGAACAATATATGCGGTTACATAGACCGCCATATCAGTATGCTCTGGCAACACCGTGCCCGGTGCTCATCAAACGTCTCTATTTCCGGGCTGATATAGCCGTTCGTGAAGCCCAACACTCTGCATGTTACGACATTTTCAAGACGGAACCAAGAGGTCCGGCTATGATAGACGGGCTGTCCGCAGCCACACGCAACCATTACATGTAATGTGGTTAACTACGGAGATCTCGGGCGATACAGCAAATAAACTATCTGTTCTTTCTCCTTATTTTATAAAGGTAACACTTCACACTAAGTGAGCGTGACCGACACCTATCAAAAGCGCACTATGCCTGTATTCTTAGACCTCATCTTGCCTAACATTTCTTGCATTTTCTAAGGAGTTCCTGCCTGTTAAATGAGATGTGCAATATGCCTTATAACTCGCTCGGTATTAGTGAGTATAAGGCATTAGACACGTGTGTTGAACGGAATTATATTGATGAGCTGTACGTGCAATCGTGCTCAACGGCAGAAAAGTACTCTTGCATCATTGCTTGTTAACGAAAACCCATTTAGGCGGCTTGCAGTGGAATGCCACGAGCTCAGCAAGCCAACGAAACATTATGAAGGTTGACACGGCTCATCGCAGAGCGTGACAGCCCTGACAATATATGGATCAAGATAAATTGACCCAGAGTCTGGATTGTGGCAACAACATTGTGTATAATACGGCGCATCATCTGACGTAGTTGTGGCTGGTGTTGGCTGTCAAAAGAAAGATAGTTTTGTGCTGAAAAGCAGCACAACTTCGGAGTGGAAGTCTCCGTTATGCTAAACACCCAGAACCAGCTTGTAGAGAGAAGCGAATGCTTTGATATTGGGGATACTTGTTTCCAATTTCTGCTTTGACATTACTTCAAATACTCAATCATGATCACAAAACACAATCACGTTGTGAAAGTACCTAAGACAAAAAACTGTTTCTCATTCTTTCGTGTGCTTTTTCCGCTCGTGCTTTGGCACACGAGATCCATACAATCGCAACTGTACGTAGGTAATGAATGACATTGCTACTGTTACATTTGCCCGAATGATTATTTGCATCTTTATCTTGTAACAGCATTTTCTTCCATCAATGATAACAAAGCCAGCAGACTGTCTGGACAGGTTGCACACTACGGCTGTTGGTAGATAGAACAAATGCTGGTTTAGGTAGATGATATGAAAAAAGAGCGCAAAAGCACATCGTTGTTTAGTTATAAAAATATGCTCCTTAAGTCTCTACTACCACGCTAATAACCAGTGTAGATGCTGCTGGACAATATAAAAGGATCCTGCGTTAAGCGGCGCATGATCGATGTTTGATTCTTCAGCAGGTAACAAACAGCAGCACGGGTTACACCAAACTCTTTGGCCAGATGAGCCTGCTTTTCCCCGGCCCGCACGCGACGCACGATCTCCCAGCGTTCTCGCTCCTTCAGATATTTCTTCTTGCTACGCTTGCCGAGCGTAGTATAGAGGGTCGATGGCGATATCGGTGCAGCATTGAGACCCACACCGTGTAGTGGACGCTTCAAACTCGTGCGACGACATGACACCATATCTTCGTTCTTCACGCTAAGGCTGGAGCTCAGGACCGATGAGTTGCTCTTAAAATTGTAAATACTGTTAAAATAGGGCTCCGGCGTGCTGCTGGCGTTGATAGGCAGGTGTCGGCCGTAAGATGAGCAGTTGGGGCTATATGGGCGCTGAAGCAGCGACGACGGTGACTGCGGTGTAGACGATATCTGCAAAAAGGTTTTAAAGGTAGGCAGTACAGTCATGGCCATGTTGGTGATTACTATTGGTGACACACTAGGTAACCACGAGTTGTTTAATTTGAAAATGACCTGAGGAGCTTAGCTGCTTGCTGCAGCCGTCAGTGCCATCTAATTGTGCTTCATTTGTATTGAATTATATTGGAGACAAGTGAAAAAGCAGCATACAGCTGTAATTGTCGTTTCCACCGAATGCTTTGATTTTCATATGATATGCTTCAATTTGCGATCTTGAGGAACGCGAAGCAAATCAATGTCTCGAAGAGCTTCCCACTAGCGTATGTATGTATGTATGTATCCATAGGACTGTGTGACAAGTTGAACTACGTTAAATAGAAGAAACATTCCGTCTGTTTCTGCAGTTTAACTGACTCGATGCGAGGTATCTAGATGTGAGACAATAAGCTTGTTCCCTGTTAAAAGCGCATGTGTTCCACTTACTACGCGCTAACAACCTAAAGTCGGTTTCAACGTCTAGTTTAATTTTCTGCAATGTAATGACGACTGCCACCGCAATGTTTCGACGCATCGATTGCACTTTGCGCCACAGCCTCGCAAAGTGATGTGAAGAGCTCCCACAACATTCTTATGTAATTTTAAACACCGCAGCCTATTTCCAAGCCTAGGCTAGGACCGTTAGCTCTATTGTTACATAAGCAGACCCAATATCGTACGGATGTCTCCATGCTAGCAAAGGGAAGCTCCAGTAGCATGAATCTTGAGCACGGTAACAGAGCTTTTAAAATTTACAGACTGGCTACACCTTGAGCATTTAACGTGCATACATTCAGGAAATTAAGCCCTGTCGCAGAAAAGCGAAAGGGGGCGCATTAATCACTTCGCCTGCTCGTCTATCATGCTGATAATGTGTCGATACGTCGATACAATGTATTTGTGTATATATCAATCCTTTGTATGTTGCTACACTACATGTTAGGTTTGTCTAGAGGTCTTGTACTTGTTAACATCATAGGCGGCAGAAGCCGCTTGCAGCAATTGAATGAAGGATTGAGCACGATTACGAGCCTTAGTAAGGTCATTTGACCATCTGTCTCAAAACTTTTTTCTGTTAATCTTGTCACATCTATAAGTTAAGCTCTATCTGCTGGAACATCTGCGCCTTTATCTTACTCAGGTAACCTGTCTTTGTAATTTTTTGCTTACGATGTACAAAAGGCTTAAGCTTGGCGATTGCGTCTCGTTGTGTATTTAGAAATAACAAAGATCTTACTACTACTGAACTGTAGTTCGAATAGTTAGTTCTACACAATGGTATCTTTAACTCTTTTGTTTGGTCGGTCCGGTTTGTATCTCTGAAAAATGCTTTCCACTAAGTTAGTATATCGTACTTAACGTATATAGATTGAGTATGTGACTATTTTGCTTTGAGCTTTCCCATCTAGCAAAGACCTAGAGCCTGATGGACCAGTTTTAATTTGTTACACAAAAAAATCTGCACATCAGTGCAGATCACCAAATTTTTGAACCCCAGCAATCGCATCCTGCATGCAGCTCAATTTTCTCTCGCGCATTTCTTAGCGTATTTTTTATATCAACCACTTTTTGATGTATTAAACACGAACGGCTTTGTGATGGGTCCTCTTTCTTAGTGAACGACTGCTGATGGTGGAGGATCAAGTTGCCAGTGTAATCAAAAGCTCTTTGTTGGTAACATTTAACATTGTGACTAATGTCTGGATTGGCCTGTAATATGCAAACGATTGAAGTGTCTTTGAGCGAAGACACGATTGTGTACGAGAAGCTACTTTGCAGAACCAAGGCGCATGAATGAGGCTAATTAAGGCCTGCTCATATGACTCAAGACTTTTGCTTGTATACGAAATGGGGATAAGATATTGAGCGCATCTTGTTTACTTAGTAGATAACACTAATGGAAGCACATAGTAAATCTGGTAGCAGTGTGTCTGTGTATGGCTATGGCTGACGCATACCGATCAAAAGTCTGGCAACGCTGCAGGATACACTGCGTCAAGTTATAAGCAATTAGCAATGTAAAAAGGTTTGGAATAAATGGGTTACATGTGCCAAGAAAGGTCCCTGTATAAACCACTTATTGCGTCACATATCAGTCAGTTCTGGTTAAGAGTGGAGTCATTCACTGCTTAGTATTGACCGCACTTGGGTGCGCCTTTGACACGTTTCTACATTCTTCCTGTGATGCTACTTGGCGTCGGACAAGCATTTGTCGTACAGATAACACTATTCACGGCGGCAAAAATCAAAGTCCTATCAGCTTCTTTACCGCTTGACGGCGGCGCTTAAATCCATTTCCTCGTCTTCGTCTGAGCTCTGCACTACTTTCATCTTTCTTCCTTTCTTGTTTAACATCTTTTTTACTGGATTTGTGCTCGGTTTTACCTGAACAGGTTTCTCCAGCTCTACTGCCGTATCAAATTCACTCTGAAGTACACCTCCCTCTTCTTCTTCACTGTCGCTATCACTATCCGCCATTACTTTTTTCATTGCAGGTTGAACAAGCTTTGACTGCTCCTTGCTGTTACCCTTAATCAAATCGCGTACCGTCTTGCTGCTAGCCAATAGTCGGAACTCATCACGAGCAGCATCAGTCATTGCAAGGCCCGACTTTGGCTCCTCCTCGGTAAGACCGGCAGCAGTATCAAGTGACTCCAGTAATTCCGCCATGGATGTCACGTGTTGAGCGTTCTTTTCCCCTATTGAGTCGTCACGCAGTGCAATAGGAGCATGCAACGTTGAATAGTCAGTCATAGCGCCAAGATCAACCTTTTCAACAGATTGCATCGTGCTTGCTTTGTCCAGCGTTGATGAAACGTCGGTAAAAGCGCGGCCTCGAAGTAATGCGCGGCGACGCTGTACCGCCTCTTTGTCTGCTTTCTCTTCCTCTTCCTTCAGAAACGTCGTCAACTCAACAACACGTGCTGCGGCCACGTTTGCGCATCTCATTACTGTAGTCGAAGAAATAGCAGCACCACCAATTTTATGCACGGCGCAAAGCTCACGAAACGAGTTGAAAGTAAAGCTCATACGCGCATCGGTAATACGCTCTTCCCGATCTGTCGGGTCCATAAAAATCACAGGGTTGCTATCATCGAATGCATCGACATCGGCCTCCTTCTGGTCAAAACAATGTATTTTAGCAGCTGGCTGCAGAAAGCAGAACGAGATGGAAATAGGAATATGGTGAAGACTCAAAGGGACTGCAGCGTGCTCGTCTACGCTGTAAACGGTAACATCTCCAGTGCCACGTGTGCCTTCCTTCACTGCAACTTCTGGTCGTCGATAGTGCATAAGAGCTGCAATAGCAGCTAATGACGCAGCATCCATAAGATTCCCACCGTGGTCTACTACATGTACGTGACATGTAATGGCCCAGACCTTCTCACCAGCTACAACAGCAAGCGCTTCTGTATCAAGTGCACGACTTTCACGAATGCCACGCTCGACAAGTCGAGCCAATTCTGCAGCTATAATTGAAGAGGCAGCACCACGACTTGCAGATGCTGATGATTCAAAATTAGGTGATGCCATTGGCGACAGTTCGACGGAAAACTGAAGAAATCCTTCGGTCGGCCGATCTGGAAATGGTGGTACAATCTCTCCATGCACATTACCAATAACACTGTTTTGTGGCAAATAATCGGATTCATACCATAAAAATCTAAGTATCATGTCTAAATATTACATTTGATACTCAAATAATTCGATTAACGTACCGCGTACGGCCAAGTTGTACCTCAGCTTGGCTTGCGCTCTCACTTCGACGAAATTGTACACGAATCTTTCGCTGCTGTAGAAGCTCACGTCCATCAGCTCGTACATGTGGTGATTGGGATAGACAATTGGCTAGAAACTGGCGTTCATTTTCACTTAGGATATCGTATTCGTCCCGCAGTGCCATTGTGGAATATTTCGTTATTGCTGGTGGTCAGTGCTTGAACATAACGTTCATCATTGATTGGTCAATTATTTAGGATTTGGTAATAGTTAGGATGGACGGATATCGGCAGACACTATTAGGACGAGCACTTGCTGATGCACTACGTGAGCTGGAAATGGAACAAGAAGAAGAAAAGATAGATGCTGTCGATCTGAGTGTGGATGGAGATCATGTGTTTCGATTATTTGATCAAGTCATGCAAGCAGAGCTGCGTAATGGAAGCAAAAGCCAAGAGAAAAAAGGACGAATATATACGCACGAGTCCCTCGAGTTGAAGGGGCAAGTCGTCGCGTTTAATCGGTTTCTGAATGACTGGAGCGTACAAGCTCGTGTAAATACACGAGATATGAAGCTGAATCGTTCTGTTGCTAATCTTCATCTGCCAAATGAAGAACTTGGTCAGGAACAGGAAGTGGTCATACGATTAAAGTTACGACAAGAAAGATAGTAAGAGTTTATTGGTTGGTAAAGACTGAAGCTATGTCATTTAGTATAAGCTGAAATTGAGAACAAGACATGCATGTAAATGATCATAACTTAACAATCCAACCTAGACTTGGATTGAGATCATGTCAACAGTTGCAACCAGCATTTTTCACAAATATCGACTCGTTTCATTGTTGTCTAAATCCAAAAGATCCAACTGAAATTCAAGTCCTGAAATAGTGTCTAGTTTGTGTAAAAGTTACTTACCACTTAAGCATTACTTTTCGACATAGATTCAAGCCTGACCTCCCATTACTTTGTCTCCCTCCTTTTGAGACCATTCACACATTATTAAGCTGCTTATAATCATCACAAGACGATAAAAGGTAAATACATTGTTAATTACTATCTAAAAAGATCGAAGCAAAGACATGTCTAGTCATAAATAGTATAGTTCCTACTTCTGCTCTATTTACCCAACTAATGACAGTGTTCTATTTCTATTTCTATCTGTATCTGTCCTTGTTGTCAGTTGCAATGTTGTCCGTAACGATAAAGAAATCTGCTAGTAAAGTTGCTGCATCAGGTTCTATACTATCACGTAGTATGGCAGCAACGTCTTCTTCGATGAAAGAGGTGGAAGAAATTGGTAGCTTTGGTCAAATGACGCAACCAAAGCTACAGTTATTTGGACTCCATGCTCGTTATGCTAATGCTCTTTATAGTGTCGCTGCGAAACAAAATCAGCTTGATACTGTGGAAAAAGAGCTGCAAACGATTCAAGAAACTATTGCTAAGGAACCACACTTTGCTTCGTTCCTACACGACCCCACGATCGCTCGGGCTTCGAAAAAAGAGGATATTGCAAAGGTTATGGAGAAGGCCAAGTTTTCTAAACCAGTGGCTGGACTTTTTGAAGTACTTGCTGACAATGGCCGTCTACCAGACGTTGTGGGCGTCATATCCGCCTACAAGAAATTAATGGCTGCCTTCCGTGGTGAAGTGCAGGCCAAGGTTACGTCGGCTGACCCGCTGACCAAGGCACAGTTGGATCAGGTGAAGAAAGCCCTTGCTGCTCGTGTGGAAAAGGACGAAAAGCTGCTGCTGGAGACTGTTGTAGACCCGGAGATTTTGGGTGGCCTTAAGGTGCAGATTGGCAACTACTTCATTGACTTGTCACTCGCCACCAAGATTGACAAGATCAACACATTGCTTGCTAACTCGAGCCAGCACTAAGTCATTCTACATACGAGAAGCAGGCTATGAGTGAACGAATGAAACTTAATGGGCGTTTTCGTTTGAATAAGTTTGTTCTTTGTCAAGTGTCTATAGCAATGGCATTCCACTGAAGAAGTATGCAAGCAATCATTCATGACGTCGCTTCTACTTGTAGATAAAACATTCTTAGCTAGCATCCAAAGCTTTTACACGCCGAGCATATAGTCTTGTAATCTTGTCCTGCTCTAACCTGCTCGTTGGCCTTTTTTTCCTTTTCTGCGTGTATTGCTGCACTTAGTTCACTTGCGTAGAACATTCCTTCTGTCAGCATAAACTTGCTAGCTCCAATAGACAAATTAACAGCAGCTGCCCTTGGACGACTTATTTCCTGAGGCGTTTGCTTGACTCAAAATAACAGGGTTTTGGCCTCCGTGTCCATACAAGCCCGAGCTTGCTGCAGTTCCTGCTCTCAATCCATCACGGCCTCGTGTCCGTTGTTCCTGATCGTGCTTCTTAAGCAATTGTACCGCTAGGCTTTCAAACAGCGACTGCACTCCTTCGCCCGTCTTGGCACTCGTGCGAAACACAAGCGCTCCAATCTCATTTGCAAATTGCTGAGCCTTTGAAAAGTCAAAACTCGACGAAACGTCACTCTTATTCCCCACAACTGCTAGCACAATGTTATCATCCACATGATGTTGCAAATCTAAGAGCAAAGGAAAAAAAATCATCAGCAACAACAACAACAACACCATAAACGTTAGAAACAAAAAGTTTTCCATTTTGACCATGAAGAAATACAGAAATCACAGCTTCACACCTTGTAGCCACTCTTTAATCTTTTCAAAGCTTGCTTCACTCTGTAAATCAAAAACAAGAATTGCAGCTTTTGCATTGCGATAATACATTGGCGCCATTGAACGAAAACGTTCTTGACCAGCCGTATCCCAAATCTGAAGCGTTAATTTTCGCCGTGCACCAACGTCATCACCAATAATCACACGCTTTTGTAGAAACGAAGCACCAATAGTTGCAGAAGTAGGCGTAGAAAAGCTATTATGACAGTATCGCATTGTAATTGATGTCTTACCGACGTCTGTAGGACCGATAATTACTAATTTACGGTCAAGTCCGACGTCTTCCATCCTGTGAAAAGGCTTTTAGAATGTAACATGACGGTGGTTTAGTATGCATGGTACAGTGTACCAGAAAACAAATTAGTTTTGGGTTAAGATTTGAATGAAATGCTCGATTAAATACGTTTATAAATCATCATCACAACGTGCACTTTTTGTCAAAAGTGACAATAATTATTATTGTAGATGAACACAATAGCTCAGTAATTTGAAAACCAATAATTGCCATTTTCTCGAGCGTTGACTTGTTCTTGTCAACATTTTGATGTTTGCATCAACTAGTTCCAGCGAGATTGAAACAGCTCAACTCACCTGAGCTTACACAGTGGCCTGACCACCACGTTGCTCGATAAGAAGCTTCCAAAACTCATGAGTCTCGGCTACAGTCGCCTCAGCAAAGTTACGACCCATGCACTTGTCATCGTAGCCGTACTTGTTTACCTGGGGCAACTTGTAATCACGGAGCCAATCGTGGATAGCCGTAATGCAGCCAGGCATGTGGGCCTCAACATCCGCCACGTCATTGATGAGCGGGGCGTAGTGATCTTCCACATTGATACATATAACCTTCCAATCCGTCTCGTTGTCGTCGATGAGAGCGAGCACGCCTAGAATCTTGACCTGTACAATGGAGCCCGTGCGCCACTGTTTGGTTCCAATTTCCACTACATCAATTGGGTCGTTGTCTCCCACGCAACCCGTGCCCTCTGTCACGTGTGACGGGTCTTCCCACGTCTGTGGCATCGCGCCATAATTAAACATCATTTCTCCCCATCCGTACTCGCGCAATTTGCCGTTCTTAGTATCCTGTTTGATAGGGTTGAACGGTTCACCAGTGGCAATCTCCATTTTCTTGCGGGTCCATTTTGGGATCTCGCAGATAAAGTTGACCGTACCGTCTGGGTTGTAGAGCGGGATATCGTGCCATGGAGAAATCTGCTGCCGGACGCCGTTAGGACCCGCGTGGTAAAAGTTGACGCGAAACTCGAAACTGGGAAAGGCACCTACGGCTTCCGTCTCGATATTCCCAACCTCCGGATTAGCGATCCGCGCCTTGAGAAATTTGAATTTTGCCTGGTAACGACGCATGGCCTCCGTCTGGTTGTCTGCGGCGTGGTCATCATTCCACCACTTCATAAACGAGTTGAAGTCAATCTGACCCGTAGACGACTTGTTGTGCATGTACAAAATGGCCTCACGAGCATCCTCGTTCGAGATAGGTTCACCTAATTTTGCATGCAGATCCACCAGGTCGTCCTCACTGATAAAGCCGTTGCCCTGCACGTCAAAGAGATTGAATATGGCGCGCATACGCTCCATCTCTCGTGGTTCAATGTTGAGCTCCGTGCCGTCATCGAGCACACTTCCGCGACGCTTCACAACAGGAACAACCTCTTGTCCGTAGCGCTTCTCAGCCTGTTCATACGATGCAAGCTCAGCCTTAAGCGTCGCAACTTCGCTGCGCAAATCCTCGAGCTCTACCTTCATGGAAATCACATCCGGATCCTCTTCACGCCACGAGTCGCTACGTTTGGAGCGAAAAGACGCACCCTTGGGAGATGACGAGGATGGAGACGAAGCCACAGGGCGTACATACTCAACACGCTCTCCATCCTTCTTGTCAGGGGCATTGTCAATGCATTTCTGCATAACCTCCATCCATTTCTGTTGATCCTCTGGTGTCTCCGTATACACGCAAAAGCAGTTATCAGCAGGTGTATAGAACTGAAAGCCATTGGGTTTGCCATCCCATACGTGCATGGAGCCAAAAGGATTGTTTTGTGCTGCGAACAATCTGCTTTTCAGAGCCTTCCAGTGGGAAGCAATACATGACTTGCAGCTTGCCCGTGTGAATGCCACAGCACTGCTTGGATCGTAATAACAAGTTGCACGTCCGTCTTTTGCATAAGATTCTAGCAAGTTTTTACGTTTTCGTCCAAGATTCGAGCAAGTTTTAGTTAACACCTCAGGATTGTACACGACGTAAGACTTGGACTGATTCATAAACTTGGCAAAGGACGCAATGGTGGACGCCATAATTACAGCCAGCGCCATGATTACCAATGATTTCGATATAGCCGACTTGGGTATGAGGTCATTGATTGGAAAATGAAGCAAAGACGGAGAGCCATGGAAAATATGCGACCTAAACGAAATAGCAAATGGCTACAGGAACCAAGACAATTGGTCATTGTCATTATATTCGTACCACAGTTTAGTCCGTCACAAAAACTCGACACTCAAATCTCTACGCAATATTTTTGTGATCTAGTCACTTTATGACGATAGTTAGGACTAGAAACGAATAATAAAATACTAACTTGAGATTGTTATTGTCATTATTTGATTACGTACGTTTAATACTATTCAAAGATTGAAAATACTTGGTTACTGAGCCCCGGATTCTCAAGTTTAAGACTGCGTAAACAAGATTGTTACGTACTAAGTGTACTTACTATTTGTCCACATGTCGCCCTCCCCGGGTTCTTGCATCACCGAAATTCGATGCGTTGGCGAAGAAGAAACGTTCGATTCTCTCTTTAGTACGTGTCTTTCTGGTCAAGTGACTTGGGCACAACTCGCTTCAGCTACTGGGAAGAAGGCGCTAGGGTGCAGTCTGACCGCTTGCACTATTTCTGCGACTCGATTAATGTCGATCTCCTTGTCATACACCCGACGGATGGTAACATGACGGTACTTAGACGAATCTGATGCCTTTGCTGCCGAGTTGGCTTGATGTTAAACGATCATCTGCATGGCCACGATTACGAACTTCTGGATCAAGCGTATTTGTAGTGTCTTTCGTGGCGTACAGATGATGACTAGGAAGGAATAGTGGAGGCAATTTGGCAACTTGAAGCTGTCGGCAGACGCAGCCACGCAAGGTTGACACTCTCGTCCTCGGCGGCACTCTATAGCGTGCATTGAGGTCCATGATAGCTCATCAAAAGAGTTTATAAAGCTCCATTAGGAGTGCTTCAACATTGTGGTCGAGCTTTTGGCATCGGCGTTTGCTTCTCGACTACGGATATACCAGAAATCATGTACACTAAACAGTAAATAATACATGTTGTAGCATGACTACATTCAATGAACACAATAGCTCAGTAATTTGAAAACCAATAATTGCCATTTTCTCGAGCGTTGTACTTGTTCTTGTCAACATTTTGATGTTTGCATCAACTAGTTCCAGCGAGATTGAAACAGCTCAACTCACCTGAGCTTACACAGTGGCCTGACCACCACGTTGCTCGATAAGAAGCTTCCAAAACTCATGAGTCTCGGCTACAGTCGCCTCAGCAAAGTTACGACCCATGCACTTGTCATCGTAGCCGTACTTGTTTACCTGGGGCAACTTGTAATCACGGAGCCAATCGTGGATAGCCGTAATGCAGCCAGGCATGTGGGCCTCAACATCCGCCACGTCATTGATGAGCGGGGCGTAGTGATCTTCCACATTGATACATATAACCTTCCAATCCGTCTCGTTGTCGTCGATGAGAGCGAGCACGCCTAGAATCTTGACCTGTACAATGGAGCCCGTGCGCCACTGTTTGGTTCCAATTTCCACTACATCAATTGGGTCGTTGTCTCCCACGCAACCCGTGCCCTCTGTCACGTGTGACGGGTCTTCCCACGTCTGTGGCATCGCGCCATAATTAAACATCATTTCTCCCCATCCGTACTCGCGCAATTTGCCGTTCTTAGTATCCTGTTTGATAGGGTTGAACGGTTCACCAGTGGCAATCTCCATTTTCTTGCGGGTCCATTTTGGGATCTCGCAGATAAAGTTGACCGTACCGTCTGGGTTGTAGAGCGGGATATCGTGCCATGGAGAAATCTGCTGCCGGACGCCGTTAGGACCCGCGTGGTAAAAGTTGACGCGAAACTCGAAACTGGGAAAGGCACCTACGGCTTCCGTCTCGATATTCCCAACCTCCGGATTAGCGATCCGCGCCTTGAGAAATTTGAATTTTGCCTGGTAACGACGCATGGCCTCCGTCTGGTTGTCTGCGGCGTGGTCATCATTCCACCACTTCATAAACGAGTTGAAGTCAATCTGACCCGTAGACGACTTGTTGTGCATGTACAAAATGGCCTCACGAGCATCCTCGTTCGAGATAGGTTCACCTAATTTTGCATGCAGATCCACCAGGTCGTCCTCACTGATAAAGCCGTTGCCCTGCACGTCAAAGAGATTGAATATGGCGCGCATACGCTCCATCTCTCGTGGTTCAATGTTGAGCTCCGTGCCGTCATCGAGCACACTTCCGCGACGCTTCACAACAGGAACAACCTCTTGTCCGTAGCGCTTCTCAGCCTGTTCATACGATGCAAGCTCAGCCTTAAGCGTCGCAACTTCGCTGCGCAAATCCTCGAGCTCTACCTTCATGGAAATCACATCCGGATCCTCTTCACGCCACGAGTCGCTACGTTTGGAGCGAAAAGACGCACCCTTGGGAGATGACGAGGATGGAGACGAAGCCACAGGGCGTACATACTCAACACGCTCTCCATCCTTCTTGTCAGGGGCATTGTCAATGCATTTCTGCATAACCTCCATCCATTTCTGTTGATCCTCTGGTGTCTCCGTATACACGCAAAAGCAGTTATCAGCAGGTGTATAGAACTGAAAGCCATTGGGTTTGCCATCCCATACGTGCATGGAGCCAAAAGGATTGTTTTGTGCTGCGAACAATCTGCTTTTCAGAGCCTTCCAGTGGGAAGCAATACATGACTTGCAGCTTGCCCGTGTGAATGCCACAGCACTGCTTGGATCGTAATAACAAGTTGCACGTCCGTCTTTTGCATAAGATTCTAGCAAGTTTTTACGTTTTCGTCCAAGATTCGAGCAAGTTTTAGTTAACACCTCAGGATTGTACACGACGTAAGACTTGGACTGATTCATAAACTTGGCAAAGGACGCAATGGTGGAC